CCTATCTACATGTCCCCAACACATAATGTAGTCATAGTAATACACCCAGATAGTGATACATAAGCACACATACTCACACATACACACTACTTATATACACTTGCATATGACTCGGTACAACCACACAGGTTGGATTGTGGGGCAAATTCCTGGCCGGGGAGATCCTGCAAAGATAGACTTCACTGCCTACAAGAGTGGTCAGGAACCTATGACATGAGACAAAAATAGCATTATAAAGAAAGCCATCCCCCTCACCCTCGGTATGAAAAAGGTTTATGCCAGAAGGTAAACCCCAGGCCAACTTCCATGAGGTTGTGCATACTTTAGAGTTACTGGGGGAAGGAGATGCCACTAGTCCCAGCACAGAGTAGGTCTATGGAACATTGATTATTCCAGATCTTTTGGCCACGAAGTGGGGAAAAACCTTTATTCCTGAATTAGCTGAAGACAGAGAGCAGGTTTTACAAAAAGGACTTGGCAGTAACTAGTAGGATAATATAGAAAAGAGAATTACTGAGTTTACTTTGCATGCAGATCTACTAAGATCTTCAAAATGTATTTACAGAGGACATCACAGCTGTCAGGGCTAACTTTCTCCATCCAGAACTCACTCCCATCTAGTCTTTCTCATCCATTCTTCCTAACCTATCATTCCCTTTGTTAAAGAGGGCCTAAAGCCAGCATTCTCTTAGTTTAGGTCTACTCTTCTGACAAATAAGTTCAAGAAATCACAAGTTATTAAACAGTTAACAAAAGGGGGTTTACTTTTCCCTAACACAGCAAAAATATGCAGCAGGGATTCAGTGGTAATTAGCTTCTCTGGAAATGCCTTCCCTCCCATCTCTATATGGAAATGCATTTGGTCAACAATGGGGCAGAGTGTAGTGACTTTGACGGTCTTCAGAAATCTACAAAGTTAGATGGGCCGTAGCCCCACCAGAGTGGGACCTTGAAAAAAGTTATTTATTTTATTTTTAAATTATGGAGTAAAACAAGCATTTCCATAACATAGTAAGATAAAAGATGATTGTACATGAAACTGCAAATTGTTTATGTAGAACTTGCTATTCCTTTTAAATATAGAAAAAAGTTATCATGCAAATTTCTTTTTTTTCCCTTTTTTATCTCAGTGTGGACTTTTTATACCCTTAGATAACCAGGGCAGCATGGGCCAATCAGGCCTGTGGACAGCTTAAGTCTCCTTTCGTAGGCGTAACCCCAATCCCAACATCCAATGGTATGATACTCTCTCCTTATTGGTGGAAATCAATGTCGCCCACCTGCAGAAGAGCAGAGTAGAATTGGTGGGAATGGGAGATAAGAGAGCTCTGGAGTTATCTTCAGCTGTTTCTAGTGTGCTGTTTATTTGAGTTTTCTTTGAGTTGCTGAGTCTCTTTGGACTTTGGGGATTTCTGGCTTCTAGCTTCAAATGGCAAGATGCCAATCTCACGTCACCTGGTTGTTAAAGGAAAAAACTCTGAGAAGAAGCTGACAAGAACAGAGCAGGCAGTCTCCATAATGTCCCTATAGCTAGTTTATTAAGCAAGAGACTTTGGGGAACTGGCCGCTGGGTGAGAAGTAGGACTGTATGGTACAAGGGCTGTTCTACACAGGTAGCGTGGGGATGGCATTGTATGGCTTGAAGGGGGGCAGAATAGACATCTCTAGTCCTTCCTCTTCTCACCTTCTTTAAGGGATGCTGTAATTGCTGCCAGCAAGAGAATCCAGAGGTTAGAGATGACACCACTCTTTTCTCCTCAGAGAGGGGGGACTGGGCTAGAATTATATCTATCTGTTCCGTTAAACATTGTTAGTCTAGGGGGTGTGATGTGCAGGTTCAGGCTAGCTTCTGATGGCTGTTTCATTAGTGAGTGAAGCAAGATCCCGTGATTTCTATCTAAAGCTTGACTCCTACACACACACAGCAAAAATCAAAGAAACCCATTTATCCAAATCATAGCAAAACAGAAACCAGAGAAAGTGTATATAGGAGAACATATACCAGATAATATAGAGTGAAGGAGCTCTCCTATTGGAAGTGAGCTAATTCAGCTTAACCAAGAGAGAGAGAGTCCTCGATCTCACCCAAGGGAAGTTCCCTGAAGTCTGATCCCAAAGCATTCTTTGGGACTGGTAGCCAGGAATATCAATGCCTGGAAGTCATGACTGGCCTTCTGACCCAGAGAGAAACTGGGTGGTAAGGCTTCCTTTCCTGTTGTATAGCTCCACATGACCTTGCCACACTGATAGCCATCTGTTCCCCTTCTGGCTTGGCTATCACACACAATCTGACTGACCTGTGAAAGGTTTAGTGTTCTGTAGTAGTAAGGGAAAAGCAGACATCAGCTGAAATGGCTACGATGTCTTACAGGAAGACCCTACTAAAGGGTACAGTTCTTAAATGGCACTGAGCACATTCACAATGGTCACTCCTTGCTGAATGGTCCTAGACAGTTTACTCTCTAATCTTCCAGGGGTAGGGGTTGGTTGCCAAGCAGCCACCATCTCCAGAAATATCACCAAAAGCACTAGCAGAGGCACCGAGGCCAGTCCTGGCTCACATTCTTCTGCACTGCTGATGCTCGGTTTCAATGAGATTACTCCATTGCAGTCCAGCCCAAGTGTTCTAACTCTTCTGGGCTGTGCCTGACTCAGGTCAACCCCTTGGTAGTTTAGGTTCAATATTGGAATTAAATGAGACATTCAACAATTAACAAAGGCAGATTTACTTAGCCATAGCTAGGTGAAGATATTCAACAAGGGTGGATATCAGGACACTGAAAGCTGATTTCACTGAGTGACATTCCTCTGCCTCTGAGTCGCCCACAGTGGTTTTCCAGTCAAACCTCAGAGAATAATTGGAGCTCTTCCTGGTTGTTTCATGCTCAGGGACGAGGAAGTGAGGTCAACAGCCTGAACCTTTGGGCTCTGCCACCTATGTGACCGTGGGCATTACTGGCCTTTCCCAGCCTCATTTTTCTCATCTGTAAAATGTACTAGATAACCTTTAAGGTCCCTTTTAAGTCTATGAGTCCTATTGAATTAGATCTCAGGATCGCAGAATGAAAGGAGGCTGTGGCTACAGCTTCCTCCTAGGTCATTCTAAGCCAATAGTTAGGCACCCCTAAGGGTTCCCTTTGTCCTGTCTCTAACACCCCTTCCCCAAGTGCATCCAAGTTCTTCAGCCTTTGAGAGGAGGAGAAATTGAGATTGTTTGCTCCATTTGGCCAATCACTGAGTTAATCAGTTCCTCTAAGGTTGAAGACAGGGAGGACTGGAGTTGAGTGTGAAGGTCCTGAAGTTCTAATTGAATTACCTGGATTTGTGTTAGCACTTGGTCTTGGAGGTGTTTTTCCATGCTTTAAAGGAGAGGATCATTTGGGAGCTTATGTTTTTCCCCACACCTACCTCATGAGGTTGTTGTAAAGATGACTGAGGTAATATTTGTAAAGTGCTTAGCACAGTACCTAGCACACAGTAGGTGCTCCTGCTTGTTTCCTGCCTCCCTTCCATGCTCAGTATATGTTTCAAGGCCACCAGTTCTTGGTTGAGCACAAAAGAAGAAAGAGGCAGTGATTGAGATAAGAGCTGAGATTCCTCTGCAAGCAGCCTTGATCCATGGATCTTTCCCAGAACACAGAGTGACCATGAGGATAAGAGCCTTGGTATTTGTTACAAATGTGGTTATGTGGGGTGAGCATAAAAGGAGCTGGAAACTCTGGGGTTCACTGCTTTGTCTAGGGAAGCATTCCATGTCAAGCCTGAGGGACTCTGAGAATCCCAGTCATGACAGCAGGTGATGAGGTAGGGAAAGGTGAATGGAAAAGAGAAGGGAAATCACAGTGTTGAGGGATTAATGTGATTGAAGAGAAAGTTGTGTTAATAAGTGTGATGAATGTTGCTGAGATTCAGTAACTCCCTTAGAACTGCCCCAGTATCATACCCTCCTACCTTTGCAGTGTAGCCTTTGCAATAGAGTAAAGTATTTAAAGATATGTCATCTGGAACTTGGCTCAATTCTAGAAGCTGAAGGCTTGGAAGGCAAATGAAGAAATGAATGGGGAGAAAGCTGAAAGGGTTCTTTGGAGCTGGAGACACAACAGGGGCCACGAAGGAGTGGAGTTATCCAGGAGAGCTGAGCCATGTGAGTGGGCAGGTTGAATGTTCTAACTGTGTGTCATGGTTCCAAGGAAACCACTGGGGAGCAGCAGGGTAAAGTTTTTTTGTTTCTTTGTTTTGTTTTGAAGTTCAAGTTTAGGGGGAGTGTTCTGTGGAGGAGAAACTTAGAGACTGAGCCTGTCATGTGGTCTTTGGTAAAACATGACTGACATCTCAAGTGCAAGGGAAGCAGCAGCCCATAATAGCAAAGGATAAAATCACCAGAATTGAAGTTAGAAGTCACTACTTTGAGTTTTCACTCTGCCACAGATGAGGTATATATAACGTTGTGATAGGGTGCTTGGGTGCCTGTGTTTGGACCTCAGTTTCTCCCTAGCCTCAGAAACACTATCCCTGGCAGTTCCTCCCCCCCCCCCCCGTCCCCCATCCCCAGCCCAAGGACAGTGTGCCTAGCAATTACTCATTAGTGAGCCCTAGCAAGATCTTTCTCTCTCTCCTGGTGCACTTACTAATTGGACCTGAAGGAATTATTAGTTTGAACTGGCTTTGCACTGGGTCATAAAAATATTCTTACCCACTAGACTATCTATACTATGACCCTATCTCATTATCCAGCTCCTGGACTCCTCATTATCTGTATTTTAGACCTAAGACACATATATACTCCCTACATCTATCTTGTCAAAGAAGACATTGATTGATGGAAATTGGGCGATTCTCAGTTGCCCCTGAGTGCTAGTTAACTTAGTGAAGTAGCAGGCCTAAAACCATACCTCCATGTGCCCCTGTTGTGGGCTTTTCCTAGTGACCTCTGGTAAAACACCTGCACAGTAGATACAAAAAGTACATGTTCCTTTAAGAACTGACTACTCCTTAACCACTCCCTAATCCAACCTGAATTACTGAGTTAGCATATTTGGCCCATGTTTCACTATATTTTATCTTATATAAACTTTCACTCTACCCCTCTAAAGTCCCAGGTTCCTTAAGAATCTTTGCCTGCTGAAAAGCATAACAGTAAATCTTTGCCAACTTGGCTCAAAAAATGCTTGAGTCTGTGAATTCATTCCAGAGGACCCTGTCCTTCAGTCTGTTCTTTGAGGGGTCTCAACCTCTCAGACCTCAACACTTGGGTTTTATCTCTCTAATAAACTGTAATATGTGCTTCACCTGCCTCACAGGGATATTACACAACTCAAGTGATATTAATGGTTGTGAAAAACCTCTGTAACCATAAATACCAAAGACTATTTTGATGATTCTATAAGTCCCTTGACACTAATGGCTTTGCAAATGATAAGAATAGGATAGCAATAACAACAATAATGTAGATATTGCAGGGCAGCATTGTATTTCCCTGCAGTCAGGGGACATGTTTGCTGTGGTTGGTATGGAATTCTCAGTGGCCAGGATATTCTGAGGGGAAATGTACCCTGTGAGTGGCAATGTACCCTAAAATAATCCTACCCTTGGTCATCCTTAGGTCTAGAGTAGGTTTGGGCAAAATTTTCTAGTCCCCAAATCCTGTAATGTAGAAATGGAGAAGAAGGGAAGTCTGGCAGATAAGCTATCTCTTACTGATGGATGGCAGGGGAAGAGAATCACAGATAGGTCTGATTTCTTAGAATAGTTAGGTAATATGGGACATTAGTGATCATGGAAGTAAGGTGGCCACAATGGTCCAATAGAGGGTACAGGATACCAGGAAAGGACCCTGAAAACCATTGCCCTGGGGTTGCTCTGATGAGAGCAAAGAGCTGAAAGAAGCAGGTTGCCCTGACCCTAAGGTAAAGTCAGCTCCTTCCCAATTCTTTAGGAGACATCATGTAGTCAGGAAGCTGTTCTGAATCCTGGCTCTGCAAATCACTGATTTGGTGGTCTTAGGGAAGCTACCTCACTCTCTGTTCTCAGCATCGTTATCTACCAAGTGCTGACACTTCATAAGGCTTTTGTGAGGATAAAAGGATATTAAGGTGTGAGGAAGCCTTTAGAAAAAAAAAGGCAGAAAGCAATATGCAAATATTAGGGGTGAATATTATCTGGACATGGGTCAGTACTGGTCCTGGGCTCTAGAGGAGATGCATTCCATCATTGGTGACCAGAGTGGTTCTGCATCAACCCCACTTCCAAGGCTCCTGCCTGAAAGATGAAAGCTTCAGGAGACAGTCAGCTGTCTGCTTAGTACGTGCTCCATGATGTTCCCAAGGGGCCTTGGGTTAATCCAACAGAAATGTTTCGTCCTTTTATCCTCAAGTTCCTGCCATAGTCTGGGACTATTCTACACCATCAACTGCAGATTCTGTGTGTACATAAGCATATGCCTGTGTATATGTAGAAAAAGAGAAAGATCTCAGTGTTATACGTATTTGCATATGTGAATTCTCTGTTTTACTGTAACTGAATGGGGAGAAAAGTTCCACCCCGAGGGAACCAACCCCTAAATGTCAGAAGTCAGCAATGACCACAGTGATGTCTTTTCTAAAGTGCTTTCTCTTCTCTCTTCCCTCCTCCCTCCTCCCTCCTCCCTCTTTCATCCTTCATGCAGTCCTCTCTCTCCTCTGTGTATGCAGCCAGAAGCTCCGTTGAGGTGCTGGGTGAGCACCTACATTGTGGGAGAACAGTGTCCTTGGAATATCAATAAAAAGAATGCCATAATAGTAAGAAACATAAAAATAATAATTATATATTCAGTTTGCATAGCAAGTAATGGTTTACAAGGCAATTTGCATACATAATCTCACATCAACAAAGCCCAGGCCTCTGTTCTTCCACTCACTAACTGAGGATTTGGCACTTCTTTCCTTGGCAGTATTACAAATGATATTCTTGTCTCCTTGTAGGGTTCCACCTACAGGTTTTCTTCAGCTGTGAGTTTTCATACTGAGGTCATTACCACCTGTGGCCTTTGGATCTGGATCTAGAAAGAGAAGGCATCTATGTGGGTGCTAGGCTACTGGAAGATGTTGAGGCTAGAGAGAGGTAAGGGCAGCAGAGATGCTAGAGATTAGGGAAGATTCCTCCCATTGACCCTGCGGTGGCCATTGATATAATGGTGAGATCTGAACCAGTGAAATAATCAGATATGTCTCAGAATAACTTGGTATGTTTCACCTATCTACCTCGATGGGTATCAGAATTTCCTGAAAAGTCTCCAGGTAGGAGGCAAGTCAGTGCAAGGATTTTCATGTGTAATTGAGAAAGACTTCTGGGACAGGAGGAGCACTGAGCAGATTTGAAGACTCCAAGAACAGGATGTGATATAGAGAGTTGAGGAGGTGTTTTGTTTAACCTTGACCCACCTGCCACCCTAGGAGGACAGAAAGTATATTATATGCTTTCTTCCCTATGTTCTCCACCCCACCCCACACCCATTTATCCCCCAGATTAAATTATATAACAAGGAATGACAAAAGCAACCTTGGAGAGACAGATACAATGCAACCTGAGGAGCTTAGCATGTGGCTATGGGGATATGGAGAGAGGTTGGTCCTACCTCTTAACCATGGTGATATGAGGGTATCACGAAACAATAATGTGCATCAGATCTTGGGGCACCAAATATGGAAGCCACCTTCTGTCCAGCTTTTTTGAGTAATTGTCAAATGCCAGAAGCATGGGGGTCCATTAGTGCTCAGGGCCAAGAGTTACTGCCCCAGTTTTCCAAAGCCTAGGGACAGTTCTGCATTTCCTGAAAAGTCTGTGTCAGGGAATTTGGGACTAGAGAAATGCTTTTGCTTACCTTCTTTTCAGGGTCAATGTGATCTAAGGAGGGCTGGAAATTACTGTAGGTGGAATCCATGTAAAGAGAATCTTCTGGTTCTAGAGGGAGGGAGAACAGAGAGGAAGGTGGCGTGGTTGGGAAGGTAGACTTTTATTTCACATTTTCTCTTCCCCCAACCTGCTCAGTGCTTTGCACTACCACTTTCTTGCTGTCTTGGAAGCTGTGTGGGGCCCAGCGTTTTAGAATGGGGAACTGCCTTTCCTCCCTCAAAGTCCTCTGACATTCCTTACAAGTGCCTCCCTGTAGCCACTAAGAACCCAAAGAAGGCTGCTGTACCTTCACAGATGTCAAAGCCTGTATTCTGAAAGCTCCCAGGAGCTGGTCCTCCATCCTCTTCATGCCATTTATACACTTGATCCAGCCTGGCCTTCTGCCTGTTGACAAAAATGCCAGAGTGACCCCCCACCCCTATCCGAACTGAGGGCTCAGCACAATGCCCATAACATTCAGACGAGCTACGTTTTGGGGAGATGGCCTGAAGAGCATCCAGTCTATCTGTGACTTCCTTCAGATCATCTTTCCTCCCAACCCTCAATGGCCATCCTGAAGATATGAAGAATTACAAAGGCCAAAGATTACAACCTGGAATGTAAGAAGGAGAGGTAGACAGAAAAACCTGGAAAGACCTACATGGTCTGATGCTGAGTGAAGTGAGCAGAACCCAGAGGACTTTGTACACAATAACAGCCACGTTATGCAATGACTAGGATTGTTAAACTGAACCCTTCTCAGCATTACAAGCATGTAAGACATCTCCAGAGGCCTTGGGATGGAAAATGCTGTCCACATGCAACGAAAGACCTGTGGAAGTCGAATTGCTATTACTTATTTTTACTTTCTGTTGAGTTTTGTTTCATCTTTCTGATGGTTCCTCCTATTGGTTTTAATATTTACTTACAACGTCACTAATGTGAAAATATGTTCAATAGGAATGTAAATGTAAAACCTATATCAGATTGTTCGCCGTGTTGGGGAGGGTGGGGGGGGAAGGGGGAGAAAAATTTTCAACTCAAAAGCATATGGAAGTGATTGTTGATAAATCAATAAATTAATCTAAAAAAACCAACCAACAAGTAGAGGTAGAGATGGCTCACCTTTGGATCTTCCTCCGGGACATGTACATGAAGACAGAGAGGGCAACGATGGTGAGCACCAGCACTGCCCCTAAGGTGCCCACTAACCCATACACCAGGTTCTTACTGGTGCTGAAGTCACAGGTTTCTCCCCAGTACCAGTGTGTATCTGTTGTGAAACAGCTGTTGAATGATAGTAAAGGTAGGAGAGAAAGAAGATTTTAGTCAAGATCATGGACACTTTCTTCTAACTCTACCCAATCTCCAGCACTGGCCCTTTGATCCCATGGAGAAAGGACTGTGAAGAGGGTAAAGATGTGTGCAGGTTGTAGGAACTAGGATATAGGAGATAGGGGTCTGGTCAAGGGGCCCCAGGAGAAGGAAATGTGAGCTGGATGGGGATGGAGTCCAGCTTCAAGGAAAATGGGCCTAGAACTATCTGGGAGCTATGATTTTGTGTGTTAGGGTATGACTACTTGTGATACAGGAGGGTTCCGAAGCTAATGCAGTAGTTTACAGCTTAACCCAATGCACAGGACTTATTGATCATAGAGATGAGAAAAGAGGCTTAGACAGGTTAAATGTGTACTCAGAGCCACTCAAAAAGGTCATAGTAGACTCAAAACTGAATTCGTATAATCTAATTCCAGCTCCAGGGGTATTTCTGCATGCACATGGATGCCCAAAATGAGGGAGAGCACTTAGGAATGACCGGACACCTTAGAGGCATTGCTTGGCCTCCAAGAGGTGTCATGTGATTCTCTTGCCCTCCCTCTTGTAAACACAATCAGGTCAGCAACCACAGTATAAAGGCCAGTTTTGGAATACTAACCTAGAAGTTCTGTGTACTTTTGACTTAATCTGTCTATAAGTCTATAGTCTATAAGCAACCTCAGAATGGGAGAGAAGCTAGTGCCTTCATAATGATTATCCACCTCTGCTTCCCCAGGTCAGGTATGCTGCCCCGTGAGTGTTGTAACAGTGTTTCCTGTTCCCAGAGTTTGTTCCCTGTCAGCTCCATGTGCAAGGGTGAGGGTAGGGAATTGCTCCAACTGAAGTGTACCCATAGTCCTCATCACATGTTAAGAATTCATCACTAATCACTCTTTCAACCTCTAACTCATCTTCAGATACCCCAGCACAATGTATCCAGACAAAACTCTATTTTCATTTTTCCCATGTATCTACCACCACATGAGGGACACCCTCCCCAACCCTCTACATCAATCCTGCTCTTCCCCTCTTCAAATCTGCTCAGTGCTCCTTCCCTTCCCAGAAGTCTTCTTCAGTTACACATGCTAGTCCTTCCATTGACTTGCCCCCTGCCTGGGGTCTTTTCAGGAAAGATGCAGTCAGGGGCATTGTGAGGCTCAAATAAGATAATGGATGTAGAGCACTTCACAAACCCCAAAGCACCATCTAAATGCCTTAATAGTATTATTGGTTTCCAGGCTGGGATGCCTTCTTTCCCTGAGCCTTCTACTGCCCTCTTGCTGAGTTCAAACAGTGTTTATAGAGCAATACTAAAGTGCACTGGGAAATGAGTTTAACAACTTGGCTGTCTGGGTGGAAAAGTATGCACACACACACTTAAGTTAAATCTGCATTATTAGCACTTTCTTCAGTCTAGAGAACCCACAAAACAAGAAATCAAGCCCTAATTTGTATGTGGCATTGCCATTTCTGAGGTATGATTGCTCACACTGAAAACTGGAGCAAGTTACACCAGTTTGAGCTGGCTCCTGGCACACCCCTGGCAGCAACTGATAATTTCTTTGCTTTTATGTTAGGATGATTTGGGTTTTGTGCTTTTTTCTTCTTTGTGTGGGTGTGTGCTCCTTCACATTTGGATGGTGGCTACCATATTCCTTCCATTCAGACTGGGAGCTCTCCAAGAGCTGTCCAAGAGAGTGAACATGGTTTTCTTTGTCAGCTCCCTGAGGGCAGGGGCCAAGTCAGATGGCAGGCAGTGAGAGGGCACTCTTACCAGTAAGAGGCTAGGATTGTTATAGATGTGACCACAGGGTTTAAGCCTGCCTAGATCAAGACCTGCTCCTCTGGAGGGATAGGGGGAAATGTGGTTCAGGGATGCAGTCCGGGGAGGGCCCAGATGGGCCTAGGAGAAGGAAGGAGGCTATTAGGAGGGCCTGGGAACTCACAAGCATCGAGGCCCTATCCGAGACCCACTCTGCTGGAACAGACACTTTCCCTGGTTGCAGTCCAGTGATGAGTTGAAGCCTTGCATGCATCTGTTAATACACTCTGGTGTTTCGTCCTTGTAGTCAATGTAGAAGAATTCCTTAAATTCTCCAGCAGTCTCTTGGCATTCCACTAAGGGAGAAAGTCAAGGGAATAAATAGTACAAAGGAAGAACTCTTCACCCAGGGTGGGCTCCAGAGCTTACCCCAACCCCTGCCCCACTTCTGCTTTAGGTTTACATACCCAGAGGATCATAGGAAACTATAAGCTCATCCACTGATGTCTCGTTGGGGTTGAAACATAATATTTCTGTGAAAGAGTAAAACCAAGAGTAAATCTCCCCTTGTCTCAGGGCTTTTCTGTTGAAGGCTTCCTCTCCAAGAGTGGGGGATAAGCCAGACCCTCAGGCTTCAGATACTCAGCCCTTTGAAATTCTTTCCTTCCCTGAATTTTTTCCCATTTCCATTTCTATTTCCATTTCCAGTTGTGCTCAGAAGCATTTTTTCCTGCTTAGTGAGCTCCACCAGCCTTTTTCCACAAGCCCACCTCATCGTGGCACTGTGGCTACCGAGAGTCTCCTGCAAGAAGCTGGTTTTTTGATAGTTGGGCTATAATATCTCTGAATCTACACCTTTTCTTTATCTTAAGGGGAGCTTAGCATAGAGTTTTGGGCCTCAAGTTAGGAAGTCCTGGGCTTAACTCTTGACTCAGATGCTTACTAGCTGTCTGATCCTGGGCAAGTCACTTACTCTCTGCCTCAGTTTCCTCATCTGTAAAGTGGGGGTAATGATAGCACCTGCCTCCCAGGGTTATTGTGAGGATCAAATGAAATATTTGTAATGTGCTTAGCACAGTGCGTGGCATATGATAGGTGCCTAATAAATGCTTGTTCCTTCCTTCCCACATTTCTGATTGTCATTTCCTCAAAGTAGGTGAGCCCCGATTTGGGTATAGACCTCTCCAGTTGGGACTTTATCTGCCTTGGGTTCTGTCGTCTTACCCCTTCTCCCTCAGATGAGAGAGAGAGAGGCAGGGTCATGCAAAAGTGATAGTTTGAGACAATGAGCTCCCTGCAAGATCTCTTCCTTCCTTGTGTCTCAGGAGATTCAATACAATTTAACAGACATTTATTAATTGCCTACTGTGTACAAAAGGATAGATGATATGGTAGAAAGGCTAAAGGACTGAGGTGGGAGTTAGGAAGACCTGGGTTCAAATCCAGCCATACTTGATGTGAGGCCACAAGCAAGTCACTTAACTTCTCAGTGGCCGAGGCAAGTCTAAGACTTTATCACAAAGGAGATGAGAATCTGTATTGGTGGAGTTAGGTTCCACACTGGAAGTTCCCTGACACTGATGAAATCCTAGGTCTGCACCCAAAAGAAAATGGGAAGAACATTGAGCTGAGGTGCTGGGGAAGATGCCACCCTCCTGGAATTTACAGTGGTAGAAAAATAAAAACACAGAGATATGGCAAACACTTAATTTGTGATAGCCCGTTATTAGAGAGGCCTTATGTCTTCAAGGCCTGAGGTGGGGGTAGGAGGGGGAGAGGTGGTTAGGTACAAGGAACCCAAGGGCAGGTTTTCCCAGGGAAGTGGCTTTTGAATTGGCTTTTAAAGGAGGGGTAAAAATTCACCAAATACAAAGGGAGAGGGAAGACATCACAGACACGGGGACTGACCCTGGGGGAACAAAGGCAAGTGTAGAGGCAGTTTATGCATCGTGTATGTAGAGGGAGGTAATAAGAGAAAAACTTGAGCAGGGGTGAGATGGGGCACTTACCTGTGCAGTTTGTGTCTCCTTGCTCAATGATTACTGTTGTAATTGTTTCCTCTACCTTCTTTGCACTAGTCTCCAATTCTGTCATGTAATCTGGGGTGAAACTTGTTGACAGGATCACATCATACTCCACCAGTATACTGCCATTTCTGAGAAGAGAAGAGACAAGGTCATCTCATGATCTTCTCAATGCCTGAGTAGGGTTGGTAACCAGGCCAACCTAACAACCACATTGAATGTCTACTCTTAACAAACCCTCTTCCCTCTAGAGGAAACTCCCTTCATGGAGATAGGGGACAACCTGGAACATCCTTTATCCAGGTGTCATTCAGAATTCAGACTCATAGCCACACCTTTCTTGGCCTTCCTCATCCTCCACTCCTCATTCTCACTTACCCCAGTTGCCAAATGTTGTTGTTTCTTTTTCTCCAGCATCTCTTTGGTATACCCCCTTCACTCTCGTAATACAGCCACGGCCTGAGCTCAGACCTTTATCACCTCTAGCCTAGACTATTGCAATAGCCTTCTAACTGGTCTCCTTGCTTCACATCTCTCCCCATTCCAATCCATTCTCCACAGAACTGTCAGAATGATTTGCCTAAAATAAAATTCTGACCATGTCACCTCCCTACACGATAAACTGTAGTGACTCTATTTAACCCTAGAATGAAATAATGAATTCGTGTTTGGCATTTAAAGGTCATTACAACCTGATCCTTCCTATCTTTCTAGTCTTCTTACACGTTGCTTCTACTTTTTACATCATGTATACGAATGTACGTGAACTGCACATTCCAACCATGTACAGGCCTTCTTGCTGTTCCTTAAACACACACTCCATCTCCCATGAATAGGACTTTGCTCTGCTGTCCCCGGTGCCTAGAATGCTCCTCTGCTTCATCTCTTCCTCTTAGAATCCCTGTTTTCCTTCAAAACTCAAACACTACCTTCTGTTGGAGGCATCCCCTGTTCTCCCTTCTCTCTCATGCATCTTCAGCTGCTAGTGATTTCTTCTCCAAGGTTACCTTGGTCTACTCTTACATTTATCTTAGATTTACGTATTGCTCTAGATGTTGTAGAAGCCCACGAGAAGGCAGGGGCTATTGTGCTTTTTCTTTGTATTCTCAGCAAGCACAGTGTGGTCTTGTTGACTGATTGATTTATCCTTGAAGGATGTTGAGGTGAGGAAGGTGAATACTCCCGACTAATAGGGCACCCATACCATCTAACTTCCCACTCTACATGGCTCTGGTTCTCCAAAGATGGCAGAGACTTACGAAAGCTTCTTGATCTCCACACCAACATAGTGAGAGACGTTTTGGAAAATGGTATCCATCTGAAAGGCAAAGAGGTCACTGGGTTATCTAAATAGTCAAAATCATGGTATTCTTTAGCCCCACTCCCTTTCTGTCACTCCCCCTCTCTAAAATAGCCCTTCCTCTTAGCAGAGGCCTATGAGAATCAACCTGTGTGAAAGTAGACTCTGGACAGAAAGTGTTTAAAGCACAGAAGTACCATAGAGGACATGGGAGAGCAATGTCTCCATGGAAGGGTTAGGCAGATGCTGCCATTACCTAACCTAATGTCCTCCCTTTATTCTTGTGATGTCCCTGAGTTCAGCTGACCTCCTCAAGGGCTACCACCTGTGTGTTTCAAGAATGGAGCTCCCAGAGCCAGCAGTGGGGAGGCCTGGAAAGGATGAGTGAGTCAGGAAAACCGAAACAAGCCAGGACTAGTTTGCTATTCCACTGTCCACTGATTCCTTCATGAGGTGAGAATCCAGGTCTCTTCCAGAAGAGGAATATACTCCAGCTCCATCCCAATTACCATTCATGTTGTCCAATATCAGCTAGGCTCTCCTGCAGCAAGCAGTTGTTCCCCCCCATAATTAATTCCGTATCTTAATTTCCACAGAAGCTTTTCCAAACCTTCTGTTCCCTCCTCAAGTCTCCCACATATACACCTCTCTTGATCACTGTTAGCTGAGCCTTTATTGAGAAAATGTAGGCCATTCTCTGTGAGCTTCCTCTTTCCCTTGATCTTCATCTCAAAACTAGATATCACCTCCTACTCTCTCCTTCTTTCTCCATATTCTCTGACACAGAAGTGGCCTTTCTGCCTGCGAAGGCCAGCTTCTTTCCTTGTATACCTCATTCTATCACATCTCAGTTTCTCCAGTAAATTATATCCTCAATCATCTATCTCCTCACTCTCTCACAAATCTCCAACCTCTCTTTATCTACTGATTTCTCTGTTTTTTTAAAAACAAAAAACAGCTTTTACTAGACTCTACTGTCCCATCAAACTACCTTCTTATAGTTCTCTTCCCTTTCTGTCAAACTCTTTCAAAAATGTTTTTACACCTGCTGCTGCCTCAGTCCTCAGCCCTTTTCAGTCTGGCTTCCAACCTCATTATTCAACTGAAACTACCCTCTCAAAAATCACTAGGTCTCTCTAAATTGCCAAATCTGTGGTCTTTTTTCAACGTCCTCCTTCTTTTTGACCTATCTGCTGCATTTGACACAGTTGACCACCCTCCCCTGGGAGGCTCTCTCCTGTATAGGGTTTCATTACATTATTCTCCTTGCTTCTACTGTCTGACTATCCCTTCAGTCTCCATTGCTAGCCACCTCTCTTCCAAACTTCCCTATTTCTGTTGAAGACACCACCATTCTTCTAGTCCCCCCAGTTTCATAACCTTGACATTATCCACGACCCCTCATTCTCCATCAACTGATATATTTCATCTTTTGCCAAACCTTCTCTTTGTCAGGTCTCTCACAACTGTCTGTCCCAAACATTACTGTCAAAGTAATTTTCCTTAAGCATAGATCTGACCTTTGTACTCAGTCAACCCCAGTACCTTTTGATTGCCTCTAGGATAAAATATCAACTCCTCTGTTTCACTTTGAAAACCCTTCACAACCTGGTTCCAATTAATATTTCAGTATCTTTGAACATTCCTTCTCTTTCTGTTGTTGTTTAGTTGTTTTTCAGTTGTGTTCTACTCTTCTTGACCCCATTTGGGTTTCCTTAGCAAAGACATTGGAATGATTTGCCATTTCCTTCTCCAGTGCATTTTACAGTTGAGGAAACTGAGGAAAACAGTGTTAAGTGACTTGCCCAGGATGATACAACTAGTGTGTGAGTCCAGATTTGAAGTTAGGAAGATCAGGCCCAGTACTCTATCCACTGTGCCACCTGGCAGCCCTTGCCTTCCCACATTCTGCTATGTAACCAAATGGAATTTGTCCCTGTTCCTCACACATGACACTTCATTTCCCATCTCCTCTGCACTGGTCATTCTCCTATTCCTGGAAAGCACTACCTCCTGGCCTTCAGCTTACAAAGTCTCTTCCTTTAAAGCCCTATGTGACCCCTCCTTCCCAATTGCTGCTAATCCTCTTCCTCCTCCCAAACTACTTCATAGTTAATTGGCACATTGTAGGCAGTTAATAAATGTTTGTTGATTGATTCAAAAATTCAGATAATTTGGAGGATTCTTATTTTCTAAATGTTAAGAGGGAAAAGACAACTTATAAGGGAAAAAGCATCAAGATATGATGGAATTAAAAGAGATAAACAACTGCTGAATTAAAACTGAGTGTGCATACTCGAAGGAATGGGCCTTCATTTGCCAGTCTTCCTCTCCCACCACCCCATCTTACACTAGTACTCTCCCATGCCTAGCACATAGTAGTATATGATTGTTGATTAACTGAGAAAATTCAGATAATTTGGAAGATTCTTGTTTTCTGAATAAGGAAGAAAAGACAGCTTGTAGGAGGGAAAGCAGTGAAATATACCAGAATTATTAACAATAAATGAACAATAAGAAGGAAGTTTTATATATATTATCTCATTTGACTCTCCAAATAACCTTGTAAGCTATAATAATAACAATAATAATAGTTAGGATTTAGATAGCATTTTAAGGTTTACCAAGCACTTTCCAAATATTATCTTACTTGTCTTCACAACAACTCTGGGAGGTAAGTGAGGAATCTATGGAATGTATTATAGATGAGGAAAGCTGAAGCTGAGACAGGTTAAGTGCTTTGCCCAGGGTCGCAGAACTAGTATCTGAAGCCAGATTTGAACGCAGGTCTTCCTGACTCCAGGTGCAAACTGGCAGTCATAAAAGTGAAGTGACTTGTCCAGGTAAAATGGCTTATAAGTTGTCAGGACAGTTCTCTAAATCATCCTACTCCTGCTGCAGACCTCCTCCCACTATTCAGTTTTAGTTGAAATGGTAAGATTGAGACACAGGAGCAGAGTGAAAGACACTAAGAGATGGAGGCAGAGAATCTAATGGATAAAGCACTGACCTGGGTGTTATGGGAGTCCTGGTTCGAATTTTTGTTTCTGCCATTAACTGGTTATGTAACCTTAGGCAAGTGACTTAACTTAAGTAAGTCACTTAACTCTTCTGGATCCCCTCTATGAAATCAGGGAATGTAGTAGATGACCTCTAAGGTTCCTGCCAAATCCGGTGGTCTTATGACCCATTGATCCTATACCTGTGTTTTGAACAGTTCAGCGAAACTCTTGTAGGCATCCGAAGATGTGTTTTCTAAGTCCTTTGTAAATTCCATATTGGTCACAGTCACTTTCACTCCCACGGTAGCATTGACCTCTTCTGGAGGAGTTCCTGGTGGAAATGGACTTGATTATGAGCATACAAATCATTCAGAATGAACCCTCTCTATCCCCCGTGCTTTGTGACCTTCCACCTTGTCCCTGAGGATTGTTCGGGTACCTTTCGTCCCCTTTCACTCCCCTATACTCACCTCAGCTGTTGATGAAGCTATGCTCAGAGCCCTGAGACCCAGAGATGTTTGGCTTACCTATGGGAAGGCTGTCTGAAACCAATTCACACTTAGTGCCATAGAAGAGGACACTGCAGATGCATTTGATTCCATCCCAGGTGCCCCCATTCTCGCACACAATGTCCTTCTCCTCACATTGCTCTCCATTGTAACCAGTGGGACAGATGCAAGAGTTTCCACTCCAACTACCTCCATTTAAGCATATCACTGAAAGAAGTAAGATACTCAATGCAGTATGGAGAGGGGGAGAAGTGGAGGAAAGAAAGTGGTAGGAGAACAAAGCAAAAGGTTTGGGAGAGAAAAAAATGAGTTTTTAGGGGAAGAGAAAAGTGAAGAGACCAGAGAAAGAGATGCAGACTGTGTGAGACTTCGACATGGAGAGAGAGGGTCAAAGATATTTTGCCTGGACTCACTCCCATTTCCTTATACTCACTTTATACTTTCCCAGAATCACTTTCCAGTGATTCTGAACCCCTAGCTATTGATGTACACATCACCATCTCCCCATCCCTTAAACCCCAGATGTGTCTGCTCCTTCCACTGTCCTGAAGAATGCTTCCTTCGTAACTAATAAAGTTTCCTTAACCTTAAATTTCTTCCTTTTCCAGTCATCTCTTTTTCTGGACTTATGACACAACTTCCTCCTGATAACACCACTTTCCACCATTTCCAGTACTCACATAAAGAGTCCTCCTCATTTTCTTTCATTCATATATATTCCCTCAGTATCTCCCCCTTTACTCCAGTCTCAGATAAAGAGGTGGTCCTCTTTACCAGAATCAATCCTCTGTCCCCTCCCAACTTCTGTAGCAGATTAGCCCTATCTTCCTCCTCCTCCTCCTTCTCTTCCCTTCCTTCCCCCTCACCCCCATTCTTTTTCTTAAATCTCCAATGTCTCTTTCCTTGTTATCTTCAAAGAGGCCTTTGTCTCCCTGATCCTTAAAAAACTCTCACTTGATGCTACCATTCCAACTAGCTATTGTCCTGTAATTTTTCTCCCCTTCATGGCTAAACTCTTGGAGCCTCTGCTTCCTCTTGTCTCATGCTCTGCAATCTAGCTTCTGACCTCATGATTCAACTGAAACCATCCTCTCCAGTGTTACCAGTATTCCCCCAAATCTGATGGCCTTTTCTCAACTTTATTTTTCTTAACATTTTTTGTAGCATTTGACACTGTTGGTCACTCTCTCCTGGGTTTTCATGATGCTGTTCTGTTAGACCACTGTTCAGTCTGATTTGCTGGCTCTTCTCAGGCTTCATCTTCATCAGTGTTAGGCTCACTAACATGAATGTCCCCCAAGGCATTACAGTAGGCTCTCATCTCTTTTCGCTTTACACCATCTTGATTTCATCAGCTCCTGTGTGTTCAAAAATTATTTCCATAGAGTGATTTGCAAATCTGTATAACCAACTGTACAGCCCCTCAGCTACATGCCTGTTTGACAGCTGCTTTTAGGACCTCTCAAAATAGATGCCCCATAATTATCTCAAACTCAGTATTTCAACACAGAACTCATTATTGTTTCCCCAAAACTCTTTCCTTTTCTAAATGTCTGTATTACCATTGAGGCCCCACCATCTTCCCAGTCACTCAGGCTCAATATATCATCCTTGACTCTTGGCTATTGTACACCCACGTAGCGAATCCCTGGCTAAATCTCGTTTCCACCTTCACTTCATCTCTAACCTAGGTCCTCTTCTCTCCACTCTTACGGTCACAACCCTAGTTGAGGCCTCATCACCTCATGCCTGGAATATTGCAATAGCCTTTTGACTGTTGTCCCTCCTCAAATTTCTCACCGTCCCAATCCATTCGTCTCTCAGCTGCCAAGATAATTTTTCTAAAACACAGATCAGACCTTGTCACCCCTTACTCAGTGAGCTCATAACCTCGAGGATCAAATGTAACCTCTCTGTTTGGCAGTTCAGTCTCTCCATAAACCAGCTCCTTCTTGCCTTTACAGTCTTGTTACACTTACTGCCCTTCACGAACGACAAAATCCACTTATATTGCTGTTCCTGAAAGAGGACACTCCATGTCCCATCTCTATCCCTTTACACTGGTTGTCTGCCATGTCCTGAATGCTGTCCCCCTTCACCTCTGACTCTTAATTCCTCTGACTTCCTTGAAGACTCAGCTCAAATTCTCCTTTTTGCAGGAGGTATTTCCCAGTCCCAGAAGCGGCAAGTACAATCATCCTCTGCCAGATTGCCTGCTGTGAACTATGGCTATATCATATGTATACCTAGTTATATTCACATATTGTGTCCCGCATGAGAATGGAAGCTCCTCCAGAGCAGGGACTATTTTTCCCATTCTTTGTATGCCCCACATAGTGCCAAGGAGATAATAAGGGCTTAAGAATTTCTTGTTGACTGATTGTGTGAAAGAGGTGATGGAGAGGCAAATGAAGAGAAGGAAAAATTGGGAGGGAGAGGTGCAGTCCTTTGGCATCTGGACCAGGAAGAGACAAAAAGGAGGAAAGGACTCCATGAGGCCAGTTCATGCATAGTCACCTACGTTTTAGGAGACATTAAAGCATTAAAGTGCAAGCCTTTGTGGGAATGGAAGGTTGAACCATAACCACTTATGAAGAAATTTATGGAGTTTCATAGAAAAAAGGCCAAGAGCAACAAAAAGGGATTGGAGAATAGGTGAATGTCAGGATCAATGGATATCTACAGGAGGGCATGCCAAGACTAAAGGGAAAAAATAGATAATAATGAGTGATATGTGATGGTTCTAGGCAGTAATAGCGAGAGAGAGCTGGAAGGGAAATGAAGGTGGAGAGGAGGTGGCTCTGCAAATGAAATTATAGCTCTAAAAAGAAAGAGGTAGACAGAAGGATGGCATTAATGAAAGAAAGGACAGAGGGAAAATAGAAACATAGAAGTCAAGGGTCCCAAAGAGGCACTTACACGGTGTGGTAGTTGATGGTGTGGTGACTGGAACAGTTGTGAAAGAAAGAGTGGTGAGAGATTTTGTGGTGGCAGCCAGTGTGGTCCCTCTAGTGGTGCTGCTTGGCCTGGTGGTACCCTTAGTTGTTGGGCCAGGTGAATCAGTGGTTGCTGTTGTCAGTGGGGAGGAAGTGAGAGCCAGGGTGGTCCAAAGGGTTGTGCTGTCCTGCTCAGAGTTACTCTGAGGTGTTGGGATGGTCTGAGTGTATCCAGGAAATGCAGTGGCTATTGCTGAGGTTCCTGGGAAACTCGTGACTGCTTCTGTTGTCCCTAGGGTGGAGGTGATAGCCTGGGTTGTCACAGTGTAGTACTCTCAGACTGAGTGGTACTCTGATCTGTGTGGCTGGTTGAAGTGGAGGCAGGGGAAGGTGTCACTGTCGCTGAGGTCCCTGGTAAAATAGAGTCAGCTGCTGTTGTCCTCTGGGTATTGGTGATAGCCTGGGTTGTCAGAGTCGTAATACTTTCAGACTGGGTGGTACTGCGATCTATGGGGCTGATGAGGTGGAACTAGGGGAAGTTATGGCTATTGCTGAGGTCCCTGGGAAAGTAGTAGGAGCTGCTGTTGTCCCCGGGGTGGAGGTGACAGCCTCGGTCATCAGAGTCATTGTGCTGTCAGTCTTCGATGTACTGTGATCGGTGGGGCTGGTGGAGGTGGAACCAGGGAAGTTGTGGCTGTTGCTGAGGTCCCTGGGAAAGTAGTAGGAGCTGCTGTTGTCCCCGGGGTGGAGGTGACAGCCTCGGTCATCAGAGTCGTTGTGGTGTCAGAGTTGCTTGTACTCTGATCTGTGGGAGTGGTGGAGGTGGAACCAGGGTAAGTTGTGGCTGTTGCTGATGTTCCTGGGAAAGCAGAGGCAGCTGCTGTTGTCCCTGCAGTAGTGGTGATAGCCTGGGTTGTCATAGTTATAGTAGTATCAGAATGAGTAGTACTCTGATCTGTGGGGCTGGTGGAGGTGGAACCTGCAGAACTTGTGGCTGTTGCTGAGGTCCCTTGGAAAGTAGTAGGAGCTGCTGTTGTCCCTAGTGTGGAGGTGATAGCCTGAGTTATCAGAGACGTGTGCTGTCAGTCTTCGTTGTACTGTGATCTGTGGGGCTGGTGAAGGTGAACCAGGAGAAGTTGTGTCTGTTGTTGAGATCCCTGGGAAAGTAGAGGCATCTGCTGTTGTCCCCTGGGTATTGGTGACAGCCTGGGTTGTCACAGTGGTAGTACTCTCAGACTGAGTGGTACTCTGATCAGTGGGGCTGGTTGAGGTGTAGGCAAGAGAAGATGGGCTGTTGCTGAGGTGTCTGGTAAAGAATAGCAGATGTTATTGTCCCTGGGGTGGAGATGATAGCCTGGGTTATCAGCGAAGTTGTGCTGTCAGACTTGGTGGTACTCTGATCTGTGCTGCTGGTGGAGGTGGAGGCAAGGGAATATGCTGCTGTTTTGAGGTCCCTGGGAATGTAGATGCAACGGCTGTTGTCCACTGGGTATTAGTGACAGCCTGGGTTGTCAGAGTCGTAGTACTCTCAGACTGGGTGGTAGTCTGGTTTCTGGTGCTGGTAGAGGTGGAGCCAGGGAAGTTGTGGCTATTGGTGAGGTCCGTGGGAAAGTAGTAGGAGCTGCTGTTGTCCCGGGGTGGAGGTGACAGCCTCGGTCATCAGAGTCGTTGTGCTGTCAGAGTTGGTTGTACTCTTATGAGTGGGGCTGGTGGAGGTGGAACCGGGGGAAGTTGTGGCTGTTGCTGAGGTCTCTTGGAAAGTGGAGGCAGCTGCTGTTGTCCCTTTGGTAGGGGTGACACCCAGGGTTGTCACAGTCGTAGTACTTTCAGACTGGGTGTTAGTCTGACCTCCAGGACTGGTGGAGGTGGAGCTAGGGGAAGTTGTGGCTGTTGCTGCAGTGCCTGGGAAAGTAGAGGCAGCTGCTGTGGTCCTCTGTAGCGGTGACAGCCTGGTTTGACAGTCATAGTACTTTCAACTGAGTGGTACTCTCATCTTTGGGCTGGTAGAGGTGTGGCTAGGGGAAGTTGTGGCTTTTGATGAGGTCCTGGGAAAGTAGTAGTAGCAGCTGCTGTTGTCCCTTGGGTATTAGCAAGAGCCTGGGTTGTCAGAGTTGTAGTACTGTGAAAGTGAGGTAGTCTGAGTTGTGGGGCTGGTTAAGGTGTAGGCAAGGGTAGATGGGGCTGTTGCTGAGATGCCTGGAAAGTAGTAGCAGCTGCTTGTCCCTGTGTGGAGTGATTGCCTGGGTTATCAGAGAAGTTGTGCCGTCAGACTTGGTGGTACTCTGGATGTGGGGCTGGTGGAGGTAGAACCAGGGAAGTTGTGTCTCTTGCCAGGTGCCTGGGAAGTAGAGGCAGCTGCTGTTGTCCTGCAGTAGTGGTGACAGACTGGGTTGTCACAGTCAGAGTAGTATCAGACTGGGTGGTACTCTGATTGTGGGGGCTGGTTGAGTGGAGACAGCGGAAGCTGTGACTCTGTCTGAGGCCTGAGAAAGTAGTGCAGTGCTGTTGTCCCTTTGGGTAGCGTGACAGCCTGTGTTGTCACAGTCATAGTACTTTCAGATTGAGTGTACTCTGATCTGTGGCTGGGAGTGGAACTGTGGAACTTGCGGCTGAGGAGGTCCCTGGAAATAGTAGGGCTGCTGTCCCTGGGTATTAGTGACAGCCTGGTTGTCAGAGTCGTAGTACTTCAGACTGGGTGGTAGTCTGTTTCTGGGCTGGTAGAGGTGGAGCAGGGGAAGTTGTGGCTGTTGCTGAGGTCCCTGGGAAAGTAGTAGGAGCTGCTGTTGTCCCCGGGGTGGAGGTGACAGCCTCGGTCATCAGAGTCGTTGTGGTGTCAGAGTTGCTTGTACTCTGATCTGTGGGAGTGGTGGACGTGGAACCAGGGTAAGTTGTGGCTGTTGCTGATGTTCCTGGGAAAGCAGAGGCAGCTGCTGTTGTCCCTGCAGTAGTGGTGATAGCCTGGGTTGTCATAGTTATAGTAGTATCAGAATGAGTAGTACTCTGATCTGTGGGGCTGGTGGAGGTGGAACCTGCAGAACTTGTGGCTGTTGAGGAGGTCCCTGGGAAAGTAGTAGCAGCTTCTGTTGTCCCTGGGGTGGAGGTGACAACCTCGGTCATCAGAGTCGTTGTGCTGTCAGAGTTGGTTGTACTCTGATCAGTGGGGCTGGTGGCGGTGGAACCGGGGAAGTTGTGGCTGTTGCTGAGGTCTCTTGGAAAGTGGAGGCAGCTGCTGTTGTCCCTTTGGTAGGGGTGACACCCAGGGTTGTCACAGTCGTAGTACTTTCAGACTGGGTGGTAGTCTGACCTCCAGGACTGGTGGAGGTGGAGCTAGGGGAAGTTGTGGCTGTTGCTGCAGTGCCTGGGAAAGTAGAGGCAGCTGCTGTGGTCCCTTCTGTAGCGGTGACAGCCTGGGTTCTGACAGTCATAGTACTTTCAAACTGAGTGGTACTCTCATCTTTGGGGCTGGTAGAGGTGTGACTAGGGGAAGTTGTGGCTTTTGATGAGGTCCCTGGGAAAGTAGTAGTAGCAGCTGCTGTTGTCCCTTGGGTATTAGCAAGAGCCTGGGTTGTCAGAGTTGTAGTACTGTGAAAGTGGGAGGTAGTCTGAGTTGTGGGGCTGGTTAAGGTGTAGGCAAGGGTAGATGGGGCTGTTGCTGAGATGCCTGGTAAAGTAGTAGCAGCTGCTATTGTCCCTGGTGGAGATGATTGCCTGGGTTATCAGAGAAGTTGTGCCATCAGACTTGGTGGTACTCTGGTATGTGGGCTGGTGGAGGTAGAACCAGGGAAAGTTGTGTCTCTTGCCGAGGTGCCTGGGACAGTAGAGGCAGCTGCTGTTGTCCGTGCAGTAGTGGTGACAGACTGGGTTGTCACAGTCAGAG